GCCTGGGGCCCCGGCCCCAGAAAGTCCAAAGCCATTGGTCTGAGGCAGACGTGACTGTTGTTTAGACAAGTGGGTCAATTAAAAGTATTACATGGATGATAAATCATAAAGCAGCCGAGGTGTGGAAAGCACAGTCCCAGATGCTGACGGCAACAGGCAGTTCCTGACGCCCCCCTGGACCGGCCCTCTTGGGCTGCTCACCCCCGTCTCCCTCCTAGCATGTAACCCGCCTTCCTGCCCCTCTCAGGCCTGCATACCTTCTCAGGAGGCACCTCAGGGAAGGTGTCTGGCTTAGTCCAGCCCAAGTACTGACAGAAGGGCTCCAAGACGGCACAGGCCTCAGCATAGAGCTTGTGGCTGTAGAAGCTGTAGGCCAAGTTACTGGCGTAAGACGCTGCAGGGGAGAGAACAAACGGAAACCTGACATCCGGTCTGGGGCTTGACTGGGGTGGGGGGGGTGTCTGTTCATCAGCTTCTACATCAGATGGCGACCCCTGTTGCTGGGGAATGAGCCGGAAACCGTCCCGAAATGAGTCCCCATTCCTAGATCCGGCTTCCCTCGCCTCCCAGGTCCACAGCTGCCTGACAGAACACAACAGTGGCAGGGAGTCCAGTGTGTCAGATTGGCGCTGTGCTCCAGAGGGCTTTCGAGGGCCGAGTCTTCTGCAAGGAGACTGCCGGTCTTTCGTCAGAGGAGCCTCTGGGTGGATTTGAGTATTCACAACACCCAGAGGCTCCATCTCTGCCTAATGCGCTGGAAGCCAGCAGTTGAAGGTAAACACTGTCTCTGACCTGCCCTCACTGTGCTGAAGCCGCACTGGCCACCCCACTGTCGCGTCAACCTACCAGATACTCTCCTGCCCTAGGGCCTCGTCACTGGTGCCTCCTCGGCCAGGGACGTGTACAGCACCTTCCTGACGTCCTCTGGGGTTTGCTCCTGTCACCCTGTTTCAAATGGCAGCCTGCACTCCTCTGATCTCTTACGCCCCCCTCTCTTACCCTGCTCCACACACCTTTTCCTTCTCCCCACACCTTAGCGCTTTCTGGCATGTATGTAACTGGCTCACTGAGTTACTGAGTGTTCCCTTCCCCCGCAACTAGCAGGTGGCTCCACAGGGACACTGGCGCTGCTCATGGACACATCCTAGACACGCAGGAAGGCACGGGCCCATAGGAAGTACTCCGTGCCTATCTGTTGACTGGAATTTTCCTAAATCCCAAGGACACACTCATGCAGCTTCTCAGCTATCAACACAGACACTGGGACAGAAAGAGCATCTGTTTCCAATTCCCTGCGAAAGGTATGTTCAAACTAACAATTTTCGTGGGCCCTGGCTTGATTCGACCACTGAAAAATTTAAAAGCTCTCTAGAACCTTCCAATGATGGAACCCAGTGGGATCCTATAATTGAAGAGTAAGGCTTTTTGTAAAAGGAGGGGAAAGTTATTATTGGGAACTATAACAATAAAAAACAAACTCACTGCCCTCAAGTATGCTGCTAAGACAGCGGCTTATGGTGAAGGGCAGGGGGCTGTGACGGAAGGGGCACAATAGTTTCTCGGGTCCAGTCATGCAGTCCCTCGACTATTGGCTACAAATTGTGCCCAGTTTGCGAAAACCCACCAACCCACACACTTATCTCAATAAAATCATACCGTTATTTCAGTTTAAAAGGGTGGAGATAAATATACATGTATGTTGTAAACACTGTAAATGTGTACCTGTATGTACACATTGTAAATGTACATGTATGTGTGTGTGGTAGTATCTCCAGAAGAACAAGAAATTGGCACTATTAATTGCCTCTGGAGAGGAACTCGCGTAGCTAAGAATTAAGGGTAGGTGAGAGACTTTTCATTGTGTCCTTTGGTACAGTTTGAATACCAAAGCTATGTGAATGGGCTACCTGTGCTCCTTTAAAAAGAATTTTTTTAATTGCAAGGATTCTTTACATTTTAAACACAAAGAAAAGTCAGAAAGTTGTATAGCAAGCACAAATGTTTTCATGAAACAATAAACCAAATTTTAAAGTCAGTGAGAAGGAAGTTGGTATTTGCTGTTATACATGAGGCTCAGCCCAAGTCTACTGGTGTTAAAGGCGGATAACTGCGATTTCTCAACATCATTGCCACGGTCTCCTTAGGCCAGTAAGAGGCCTGCAGTGATCAGAACCATCCGGCAAGTCCCACTTGCCTTCCTCCTGCGGGATGACCTCTCTCATGTGCCCCTACTTGGGTTCAAGGTCCTTACCAGTCATCCCCAGATAGTCGGTCAGCGCTGGGCCTGACAGCCCTTCTAGGGCCTCCAGCATCCAGACAACAGTCGACGCGCAGCTCTCCACTAGCTGGGCCAGGCCGGCCTCATCAGGCCCCTGAAGGGACAGGAAGGGCGTGAGGGTAAGAGGAGTCACGACAGGTCTAAAGTCAAAGCAGACCAAAAGCGCCACCTAGACCCTGGAGCAGGCCAGACCCTGTGACCCTGCCCCGGTTCTCCGGTGCCTAAGCGGTTGGTACCTGGCAGCCTTGGGCAAAGTCATACACCACCACCGTGTAGAGGTGAAGTCCCTGGAAGTGCAGCTGAACCAGGGACTTCTGCTGCTTGGATGAGTCCCTGCAGACCTGAGGAAGGGAGCGGAGGTGGGTGGGAGGGTCAGCGATCCAGAGTCAGTTCTAGGTTGAAGACCAGCCCAGGGTCCTGGACAGCTGCCCAGTCCAGGGGAGAAGAAAGACATGCAGAGGAGCCACTATCCTCTCAGGCAAGCCCAAGGTGCTGGCTGGCCAGGCGGAGTCCAGAGAGCAGCCGGCCAAGGAGGAGGCTGGGGCTTCCGGATCTTGCCCAAGGCCACAGGCTGGTCGTGAACTCACAGACTCGCGTCCCCACCCCACCTCCCAGTCCTCAAACTCACCCCATCCCGCAGCTGCCGCAGGAGGGAGCAGTAGCCGCCGAGAAAGGCGTAGAGGCCCAGAACAGTGTCAGGCGCGCAGCGCTGCTTGAGGCCTCTCTCCAGGCCTGAGAGGAAGAACTGGCAGCTGTCACACAAGGCGCGCAGAGGCGGTGAAGGAGCCCCCAGACTGGCATTCAGGGCAGCTGATGCCTCGACCAGAAGCTTGCTCACTTCCTGGGGCCCTCCCTCCCTGACCTGCAGCAGCTCCACCCCGAGCTGGCACAGGTGGAGGCTGGGGGCCAGATTCGTGTTCTTCAGATAACCCTGGGCCTTTTCCGCTGCTCGGAGGGCCTTGGCGTGGTGCTGGCTCCAGCAGAGACGGCGGCAGTGTTCCAGGGTGAGCTCCAAGAGGCAGAGGGCCCGCTGGGGAGAAAGAGGGCTGGCGGGGTTCTCTCCCTGGCCCACCAAGAGGCTGACGACATGCCTGGTCAGCAGGCCCTCTAGGAGATCAGCATCAGCTTCCCTCAGCCCAGACCCACTGGGATCAAACAACTGGTGGGCAGCCACCACTCGGCATGCTGTTACGGAAGCAAAGTGGGGGACCTCACAGGGGACACTTTCATCTTCCAGCAGTGCCAGGAAGCTCAAGGCCTTCAGGCGAGCCGAGTAGGCAGCTTGCCTCTCCACCAGGCTTTCTGCCCCCTTCCAGAGCAGAGAGAAGCTGCCGCGTGCCACAGCCTCGTAGTCCTGAGAAGCCACTTGGTGGGAGCACTGTGCCAAGCAGGCGTGGAGGGGCTGGGCAAGGCGGAGGGTGGCCTCTGGGTCGCCCTGCGCGGCAACATTCCGCAGGAAGATGAACAGAATGCGTTCTAAGTAAAGGGGAGGCCGCTGGGGTGTGGACACCAGGTAGCCATGGCAGGCCAGTTCAGCCAGCTCCAGCAGGGTCCCCAGGTGGCCTGGGCAGGCCAGCTTCGTAGTCAGCTGCTGATTGCAAGCCCTCAGGATGGCATCGCAGGCTTGTCTTCTTTCGGCATCATAGCGGCAGCTGGGAGGACCAGCCGGAGGCTTGGACAGGAACTCCTGGGCAGAGAGCAGGAGGTGAGGGGGCCAGCCACGAATGGAAAGGAGGGAGGGGACGGGAACTCGGCGGAGTGTGCCAGGAGAGGTCTTCTTGACTCTCTGCTTCTAAACCATGATACATTTCTTCGGACCACGGCTCCCAGTTATCTCCTCCCCCATCTTGGAGGCCAAAGTCCCCGGCCCTCCTGCCATTCTTCCACAGCAGCATGCCCTCAACTCCTCCCACGGCTCGGACAGCCCAGAGCCCCCGGAGCCAGACAGCTCCCCCACCTTCAGCTCGGGTAGCAGCTCCTCAGCCTCCTTCGCGCTGCTTAGCAGGGTCCCAAAGTTGACTCTTTTAAAGTTCCGCATGGCGCCGGAGTGCTGAGAAGATCAGAGAAGGCGGAGAGGAGTTTGGCGCTCGGTGGAGGTTAGGCGAAGGGCTTCAAGGCCAGAGAAGGTGGTGAAGCGGCTTATCAGGAACGGAAACAAAGCCCTGCTGGGGCACCGGGCTTCCACTGTAAATGAAACCGCTTTTCTTCCCTCGCGGTCGATGCCGGCCCTCCCGGACACAGCGTCCCAGCCCGGGAGCCCGCACCAAGCTCTCGGGCGCCCATCAGGACGCCTCCACGTCTCCCGGCCGCCCCGGCAGAGGCCTCCGCTCCCCGCCAACGTCAGCGCATTGGGGCCCCACTCACCTCCACACGCCCGCGGGCACCTCCCAAACTCACCGCTTCCCCTTGAAGGTCCCGGGCTTAACAGCCAGAACCTCCGCGAGGACCCAAAAGGTAACCTTCGCTTTCCCGCGCCAGCCCCTCCTTTCAAATATCCCAGCCGCCAATCAGCGAGAGCGGCTGACGCCGGCGGGCCGCGTGGCCCGCTGGGAGTTGTAGTTTACGCGCAGCGCTTCCGCCCACGGGACGCAAGCCTGCAGCGTCGGCGGCGTTGGGGGTTACGGCCTCTTGGGGGCGCGGTTTTCCTTCCGCTTCTGGTCTCTTTCGTTACTATCGAGAAGGTCAGCCCCTTGCCTTCTTCCCCTCTTTATCTGACGCGCTCAGGCAAGCGTTTACATTTCAAGAGACAAGATTTAGGCTAGGCGACAAAAAGAACTTACTTGGAACTCACGCAGTTTGGATTCCTAGGAAAAAAGGGCGTAGTCTTTCACAGAATTTGTTTTAGTGTACTTTCCTAGGGGACCTCCAGTTCTTCCTCTTTCCTCCAGCTTGGCTCCTTCCATGAGTTAAGACAGAAAATCAAGTGCTCCTTATGGGGAGTGGGGAGATGTGTGTCTGAAAATAGGGAAACTATTTCACTAGGATATTTCACAGCCTCCGTGGCTTGTTTGTAAGTAAGAAACCACTTACCCAAGCATACCCATTCACCGGACTTAACTTCTCTTTCATTTCCTACCAAGGAATTCAGCTCAGACTGGTGCTTCACTCTGCTTTTCAACCTTCTTCATGTTTTTGTCGGTTATCAACGTTTTTTAGAATCTGAGCATCCAGCAGAGCTGATAAACTTTTTAAAAACACCAAAAAGATATCTCAAATAAATTTTTTTTATTTATTTCAAGAGGAAGTATTTGTTACAAACGTGACGAGTGTTTTGTTTTTTAATCATTTTATTAGGGGCTCATACAACTCTATCACAATCCATACACACATCAATTGTGTAAAGCGCATTCGTACATTCGTTGCCCTCATCATTCTCAAAACATTTCCTCTCCACTTAAGCCCCTGGCATTAAGTCCTCATTTTTCCCCTCCCTCCCCGCTCCCCCTCCCTCATGAGCCCTTGATAGTTTATAAATTGTTATTTTGTCAATGACGAGTGTTATCTCTGTAGGGCACAGGACCCAGGAAAGATGACAGTCATGAAATGTTGGGTGAAAAATAATAATAATAAAAAAAAGAAATGTTGGGTGAGTAAACAGGTGGATTCTCTGCGCATTCATTTCTTCTTGTTTTCACTTCCATGTTGTACAGCAAGTGTTCTAGGAACACCCCGCCCCCCATGTATTCTATTTAGTTGATTCTAAACTCCTCAAAGGCAGTGAACTTTCCTCCTCTAGTTTCTATCCTTAAGTTCTGTATCAAGAGATCACTACTCACTGGTATGAATATGAATCCCATCACATAATTCAACCTTTCACCCTGAATACCAAGCTGATAATGAGACAGCACAAGTAGAAAGAGCTTTAGACTGAAGTCTGGACAGAGGCACTGAGATCTGGTGCCAGCTCCATTTGTGTTTTCTCTGGGGAACAGGTAGTAACACCAAGCCTCCCTGTTTCCCAGGTTTCCTACCTCAAGTAGAACATCCTTGAAATGTTTTCCATTGGCCCTGAGAGCACTCGGCAGCCATTAAAAAGCATGATTGAACAATTAAATTATATGATATGTGAAGTATATGCCAATAGAACTATTTTTTTAAGCATGTCTGGAAAGAGGGGATAAAGGGGAACTGATATCCAAGAGTTCAAGAAGAAAGAAAATGTTTTGAAAATGATGGTGGCAGCAACTATACAATTCTGCTTGATCTAATTGAATTACATAGTGTTACAATGTCAGTATGAGCTCCCAACAATTAAAAATAGGCATGTCTGTCATAATGAAAAATAAAATGTGTGAAAAGATACAAGAATGATTGTGATCATCTCCTTGTAGATTTTAATTATTTGAAAAAAGAAAAAACAACATACATGATTGTTTAAAATTTTTTCAGTACAGCCATGAATAGTATAATAGAATTTTATTACCATATGTGCACCTATATGCATGTACATAAATTAAATCAGCTGAACTAGATCAGTTCACAGGGGCGATCACTGAGGGGAAGGATTAAAGGAGCCTGTCATTTGTTCAAATTTTTATATGTCTCTCTTTACAATATATGAGAAAGTTTCACAAAGTCCTTGGGAACATGGATATAAGATCATAGAATTTTCCCACAAACTCTTTGAAGCTGTTTTGTATATTTATATATCAGTGTAATCTGCAACATTATGTTAACACATTGATAGCAAATAGGTATTTGTGTCTGTACTTCACTATTTGACAGTGGAAGCACCTGGTGGCTCCGTGGTTAAGCACTCAGCCGCTATCTGACAGGTCAGTGGGTCCTCAGCCGTCAGTCGCCCCCCCCAGGAGAAAGATGTAGTGGTCTGCTGCCCTAAAGATAGGACGCCATGGCCATTCTACTCAGTGTACAGGGCCCACTCTGAGTCAGAATTGACTGGATGGCCAAACGTATTTTACAATGGGAACATGGAGCTTTACTGTTTAAAAAAAAAGTGCCTTAGAGCAGAGGTGAAATATTTTTATAATGTTAGATCTGAGTCCAAGCATGACCAACTTTCCTGAGTTTTATACTTCTATTAGAAACCACCAGTCAGCCCCAAGAGCTTTCTACTCCCATAAGGAGTTACAGTCTCAGGAATTCACAGCAGGAGTCCTGCCCTGCCCTATAGGCTCCCCGTGAGTCAGAATCAACTCCATGGAAGTGAGTTAGGTTAGGTTATTCGTGGGGAGGGGTGGCAGACAATAATAAAAGTGACAAGGAAGACCCCAAGGTTGGTATGTTAGTCTGGGTTGACTAGAGAAACAAATCCAGAGATACTCATGTGTGTGTAAGAGAGAGTTTTATGTCAAAGAGTACTTGTATATTAAGGAAACATCCCAGCCCAGTCTAGATCAAGTCCATAAGTCCAATATTAGTCCATATGCCTAATATCAGTCTATAAATTCCTCTTCAGACTCATACAACACCTGCAATGACGCCGAGTGCAGGAAGATCACAGGCCAGTGAGTGGAAAAATCTTGTGGATCCAGTGGCAGTGGAACCAGCTCAGCGCTGGCATGGGTCTCGGTGTGATTCCTCCAGCTCCAGGGCTCTGGCTCCTTCAGCGGAACTCCATGTGGCTTGTCAACAGGAATGTCAACCAGGGAGAGTGTGTGCCCCGCCCCCAGGGAGGAAGACAGGAGTTTCCAGAATCCTCAGGAGAAGGCCATGCCCACAGAGGCATTATTGGCTGTGACCTGATTGACAGGCTACACTCCACCCCTTCGCTCAAGTTGACAGGATATTATGTAACCGCCACAGTTGGGATTAGGATAACAACAATTGGACTGACCTCCAGCAAAAAAGGCCCCCTCTTGTGTCTGGACAGGGGTTGGACCTCTTAGAAGAGGCCTTATAGAAGACTCTTGAAAGTGCCCTGGACTGCTAAAAGGACCAACTGACCCGTCTTGGAAGAAGTATGCCCAGAGTTCTCCTTGGAGGCAGAATTGGCTCCTTTGTGAGGGAGTCAAATCCTGAATATGGCTCTTCTACCCGAGTCTGCCTCTGGGGTGAGCCATCTCCGAAGCAGAGAAGGGAAAACCCCCATTGGAAGGTCATGTTCAAGATCCCTGTCTGAAGTGGTGGAGGCTACTGAGACCAGATGCTGAGACACAGAAATTCCAAGGAGCAGCATGCAGACTATGGGGTCCCTTCTCACCTGGCCGGCCCCAGGCTGTGGCATTGTGAGACAGAGCGATGGGCAGGCTGGTATCCTGGCTGACAGAGGCAAAGGTCAAGGCCGAGGGATCACAGGGCTGAGAGACTCAGAGCTAGAGAAAGACTCCATTACCACATGACTGAGAGGCTGAGAACTAGAGAGAAACTTGGCAACTGTCTGAGGAGACTAAGGGCTGTATCCTTACTGTTTGCTGATCCTGACATATGAGAACCAATTAAATTCCCTTCAAAAAAAAAAAAAAAAGAAGAGGCCTTGGAACCCAGCTTTGCCTTTCACCCAGTCTTCCTGTGCCCTTGTTCACTGGTGCCTGGGGATCGCTAAAAGCACCACATATAGCCCTCGATGTGTCCAGCTGGATGGAAATTCAGATCATCAGCAGCCTCTTAGAGAATGATGGTGGTGTGTATCCAGCTGCCCCCAAGCTGACCTTCCCACTTGAGGAAGAGGAAGTGAGTTCAAGTGGAGCCCACTGACACCCAACTCAGCCATCACATGGTCTCAAGTCAAAGCCGCTCCTTCTCCAATAGCGTGATGCTCCCACCTGGGCCAACGTGGAAGATAAACATTACGGGGGACTCCCCTCGCCACCGGGAAGTGTGGGAAAGTTATCGCCATCGCAGCTCATCTGGCACCCCATCAAGACAGGGTCAGCTGGATTGAAAACTTAAACAAAAAGCCAACACTGGCGTGAGCCAACCACCACTACACACACTTAAGGACAGCAGTGTGCTTACTCCTCACAGAGGACCCACGGGGTAGAAATGATCTTACCACCCCCACTACGACGATGAGGATATTGAGGCACTGTGATGTCCCAGCACTTGTGCTCTGGATTCTTCCTCTGAGCCCGCTCTGCGCTGCCTCTCAGCAGAACATTCTGAGTAGCATGTTGCAGACCCTGGACCCCTAGTGAACCTCTCACTCACTAGACGCTATCGACAGATTCCCCCAAGCGGGCCAGGAGGACCAAGGCTATGGGCACTTCCCCGAATAGAGGGCTTGGGGCAGGAGAACAGAGCTAGAGGAGGTAGCTAAGGCAGGTGGGTGGACGCCCATGGGCACTGGGCTGCCAGCAAGAGACAAGGTTTGGCCTCAGCTTTCCACCCACCAGCAGTAGCATCTCAGGCGAGTGACTTCTTTTCTTCAAATGGGTTTTCCTCTTGGGTAAAAGATTGTGCACACACATGCACAACAAGTTTTTACTTTTAAAATGTCACACACACACACACACACACGCACACACTTCCCTAGTACCTAGCAATACCATGAGAAAGACAGGCTTTCTGCCCCTGTAGAGTTACAGTCTCGGAAACCCACAGGGGCAGTTCCACTCTGCCTTGAAGGGTCGCCATGAGTCAGAATTGACTTGACGGCAGTGAGGTGTTTTGGACCGAGGAATACAATGGTTAACATACAGTGCATGCCCAACATATATTTGAGGTGAAATGGACAATCTCTAAAATGCCTTCTGGTCCCTCAACACCCGTGAGTCTGACAGGGAAGCACCTTCCCTGTTAACTGTCGCCAGGCCCCAGGTGCTTTTAAAGCCAGCTCAAGAGGTACCAAGTTGAAGAAACCATGTGAGTCAGTCTTCCCGAACCCCCAATTTCATTCTCACTTAGGAACGTAGAGGGGGGTCCTCAATCATCCAGCAATAGCTAAGTTACTGTCACCTAAAACTCAAATCATTAACTAGGCTGTAGACTATAGCCTAGCAGACTGCCCAAGTGGGTGGTTCTTGAAAAGCCAAGTGTAAGCTAGCCTGTCTCCTTTCCAGAAATGTACAGGCCAAGCACCTGCTTGTAAGCATGTACAACTGAGACAACGACGAATGAGGCAGCTTACTCTTACCCTCAAGGAAGTCCAAGTAGCAGAAGGGATGGATCGTCTATACACACATAACCATGACATCTCTCATCCCAGCTCAACAGGGCAGGCGGGGATGCAGTGGGCTTCTGGCAACAGATTGTCTTAGACTCACGGTGATGGGGCGGGGAAGGGGCAGGGAGGTAAAGATACTGGCTTTTCACTTCCCCTCTAGCTCGGTTCCCCACAGCCTGGTAGGAACCTGGTCCAAGTGGGAACCTGAGACCCCTGCCCACTCCTCCCCCTGGGTGGCTTCCCCTGCAGTTCATCCACCCTACATTCCTTCAGCACCAGCTGATTCTATCTCCTCTCACAAGTTGAGACTTGCAGATCCTGGAACCTCTTGCATCTTCCTGTCTGAGAAGTAGTCTGCGACCCAAGGAAAGGCCTTAATCCCTTTTACAGAACAGCGGGGCCCCCATACCCCTCAAATACATTCCAGGACACACCCTTGAGGGCGCCCCCTCCGCCCCGCCCTCCATCCGCACCCTTTTTAGGGCTGGCTTGGCTTCCCCTGAAAAAGCCCAAGTTTTGGTGGGAGGA